ACGTGCGAGACATCGGCCGAGCTTTTGAGGACGGACGAGGATACGTCAAGTACTCGGGCGAGGATGCGCCCGAGCCACTCGCGCTCGAATGGTCGTCAGGCAATGAGGTTGGATCTACCGTTGGTGGCAACTCGAGCGAAGGCGTCGATGCCGAAGCGGTAGCTGCTACGGCCGACCTTGACGCAGCTGTGGTGTCCGGCGCAGACAATGACAAAGTCGACGAGGCCGCCGAAGAGCCGCTCGTTGCATGCGCAAACAAATTGGACAGCGTCGGACTTGACTGAACCCGCTTGCTGAAAAACTTGCCAAGCTTGGTTGATGCGCGACGGTGGATGCTTGAGGTGCCCGCTTCGGCCGCGTCGTCAGGCGGGGATCGCGGCGAAGCGAGAGCTTCAGCTCCAAACAAACTGCGACGACGCTTGATTTTGGCGGCCGAAGTCATCAGAGACTGCGGTTGCGATGTAACCATATTCGTTTGGGGCAAGTGCGCATGCAGGTGCTCAAGATCGAGAGGCAGACAATCTGGCGAGGGTGGTACAGACGGCGGAGGCGTCTCAACCGAGTACACGCTCGCGTAAGTGACACCGTGCGAAGACGACGAGTTCGTACCCGTGCCGGAGGACGACGAGGTCGAACTGACGGAATTGTTGCGCTCGACATCTGCGTTCGCGCTGACTGCCGACGGGACGATCGGCGTTTTTGGTGCCGGGGTGACCAAGTCAGAGTGCGATGCAGCGCGTCGGATGACGGACGCGCTTCGTACACCACCGCGCTTAATCGCAGCCGATAGCTTTGTATCAATGTCGGGCAGCCTGGGCCGACCATGCGTGCTCTTTGTTTTGCGAATGATAGAACGCGGATCGGGATTGCCACTGAACACGACTCCTACACTCGCGTCGAAACCGACAGGTGCCGACCGTAGCTCGCTGGCGGGTGAGGTAGCAAGCTCGTGGCTTGACATGCGTCGCTTATCCCAACCCAGTGCTTTGAGAGAGGCTTGAGCCTGCGCCGTCATGCTGCGTTTGGGTTGCGTTTGTCCGCGGGCGGACGACGACGTCGCCCGCGAGAGCGTCAATGACGACCCTTCTCGCATGGCTTGTGCTCGTGCAGCCGTCAGCTCTTCTGAGAACACACCATCGCTCAAGCGTAGATCGATGGCCGCTCGCTGAACAGCCGGTGTCCTACCAAGGAGCGCCGAGGCTGTTGCAGACAAACGGCTTGATTTTGACACTGTATTGGCTGTCGTTGTGGGTACTGGTGCATAGTCGAACGGATGTGCTTCATCTGAATGAGGCGTTCCGATCGATGCAAAGCTCGAAGCTCGTGAGTGATTGCGATGCGCAGTTGGAGCGAATATGACACTACTGATGATTGATTCGTCCACTTCGGTTGAATCCGCCGGTCGCACCTTCCACACCGTCAACGCGTGTTTGCGAGCGTCCTGCAGCCTGGACAACCAAATTGCTTTTTCTGGCTCGCACGTGGCTCCAAACTCGAAAATGTGTTCTTGGTGTGACATTCGGAAACTGTGAGGAAGCAGACCTGAAGCAAACGCATCAGCCGAGCCCGGTTCTCTCGGCTAGCTTTGGCCAATGAGCTCACCTTCGCCCTCCTCGATGCTCGTCAAGTCGAATTGCCTCAGCGGCAACCATTCGCGCGGCTCGTAGCTGAGGCGACGCCTGATCTTGCAAACCACGAGGTGAGTTTGATATAAGAAGCAACTGTACCAAAACAGTTAGCAAAGATTCAACGTGTTGGCCGGGGAGGCGGCTCACCCGTAGTACTTGATACGCAGCGGCTCGTGGGACGCAGTGCGATGCAGGAAGTGCAAAGTTCCTACGAGCAGTGTAGGGCCCAAAATATTGCAGAATGCGCTCGATGTGGGCTTCAGAAGGTCGATTAGTATTGCTGCAATGCGATTTGCATGCGCGCGCCGAGGACTCACTGCGAGGAACTCCATTCGCGACGCGACGGTCTTAGTTCTCAGTTCGCCTTCACGCGCTCGCTTGGCCTCATCAACGCCCTCGCACACTCGCTTGAACGCGTCCCAGACAGTCTCAACGGCGTCGCGGTCGTTGCCATCTGGCACATGCTTGAGCACTGCGGCGAGCAGAAGAGGGTAGCGGCACACTCGCTGTACCGGAGCGATCGAATGATCGGCGAAACGCAGCCTCGAGCGAGAATATGCCGTGTCGCGTCGACCGGGAGACAATTCCAGGCTGCCGCGAATCGCACTGGGCGAGACCGGCGTTGTTGGCGATGTCGGGGGAGAGCCAACAAGCGTCGGTGTCGATGCAAAGAACGGCGAAGCGGCAATGGCAGCGAGCGGTGTTTGGTCACCAGCTGAAGCTGATCGAGCACAAAGTCGCTCGTAAGCCTCCCATTCTGGTCGCTTGGCGAGATTCCGGACCAAATCTGTCGCTTCCGTTTGTTTTGCGCAGTATTGCTCGTACGCCGAGAAGCCAGGTATCTGCGAACAGCTGTTTCAGCAAGGCTTGTTGTGACCTAACGGCACGGCTTACGAGATCCATGAGCGCCTTCGCCATTTTGCTCGACATTCCGATGAGCTGCTGCTCTTCGGCGACCGTTTCCGGCGCTCTCTGCGTCGAATGCAAGTACGTTGCGAGCCCGATCTCTTCGAAATGAGCGGCAAGATCTTCATGCACCCTGAGCAGCTCTTCCGAGTTGCGGATGATGATCGCTTTCTCCGCGTCAGACAGGCTTGGCAGGAAAGCGAGAGTCCGGAGATATACCTGCACAGATCGTCAGCCGTGAACGGTACGGAGTTGAGTAAACTTACTCGAACGAGCGCTCGCAAGACGTCGAGATAGGCTTCCTCGCTCTCGAAAAACTCTTTCAAAGAGTAGAAGAGCTTTTGAATTGACCCGAGCCTGGTGCTGGACTGATTGGACGCAGGCTGCACGACCACTGGCGACAGCAGCGGGCCGGCGGGGGCCAACGGTGCTAGCGCCACAGCCGGTATGGCAAGCGACAATTGAGGTGCGGACATTGACCGGTGATGTTTCGGCCAAGCCACTTGGGTCGTTACTTGTGGGCCAGAGGAGTCGAAAAGGCTTATGCCAGGAAGAGGTGATATCGGAGAGTCTGACAGGATTGTCGGATTGAGCTGTGGCGAGGTGTGTGAGCGGCCAAATGGCGGTGGCGACAGAGGCGAGGCTGGGATCGTCGGCAAGCCCGGCACTTGCTGCAGGCTGGCAAAGCTGTTTGCTGCAAAGGACGGCCGGGCTTGCTGAGCTGATTGTCGAGGCGGGGTCACGGACGCGGGCGTAAGCGAGGCGGCTGGCGCATGCGCCAAGGACGGTGTTGTGCTGGGCGATCGCGGGCTCGATCTCGGCCGTTGCTTCGACTGAAACGGCAAAGTCTGCAGCTTGGACACCCAGTTTGATGACAAGTCGCCGACTGCTGTCCGCTGTTCGGTCTGGCGCACCGCGCCGTCGCCGTCGCTGTCGTCGTCTTCGTCGTCTTCGCTGGGCGCCAATTGTTGCGCATCCGAGCCATCGCGACCTGCGCGGGCATGAGGCGCCGCTGCTTTACGTAGCGATGGAGTACTGTCGGATTTGCTGATGTCCGATGTCGGCGACAGGCCCGAACCGTGCGCGGCAAGCGATAACCTGCGCAAGCTCAGGCCCGGTGCGTCGCCGACCTCGCCCTCAGCCGCATCAACCGCTGAGCAGTCGCGGTGGAGCACATGCAGAGGCTTGTCCGTCGCAAGATCGAGCTGTCGCTGCGGTCGCGGGTACGATTGATCGAGCGCGAGGCTGTCACTGTCGGGCGGTCGGTGCACGCATGCAGGCGCGGCCGAGCCCTGCACGAGCATCCGCGATGCCGATGCAGCTGACCGGACTGCCGTTGCGGTTTCAACGGAGCAGTCCGAGGCAGAATCTCGCTCAGCTCTCGCGCGCGAGCGCGATCTGAAGAGCGCCTGTGCAAGATCACACGCGCCCCACCTGTCAGCGACCGTGCAGCAGATCGCTAGAGTGAGAATGCGTTGCGCTGTATGTCGACGGGATGAGCGGCAAACGCACCGAGGACAATACGAGCGTCAACCTCTTGTCCGATCGAACTCGATCGGGCCAACTTTTCAAGCTTTGTGTGCTGCAGAAAAGTTTGAGCGCGCCAGGCTGAGGCAAAGCTTCGTATCTCAAAGTGAACGATCCAGCGGTATCTTTGTCCCCTCAATTCTCCGTTTTGGGTGCAGCCCAGTGGGCGAGTGACGTAAGATCGCGAAGTCAAGGAGGGCGCCGCGCGCGGCCCTTTTACGCACATAATTGACACTGAATGGTACATTGCGGCAGAACTTACCCACTTCAGAAAGTTTGACTATAGTGATTAAGCTGTATGTCATCCTCTATCATGCAGAAGGCTTGAACGAGGCCAGGACAGCTGCAAACAAGCTTGCTCGTAGATACTCGCCGGTCAAAACCCATGCCCCTGGATCGCTAACAACTCCAACAACGGGACGAGTGATCCGAAGTTTGCGACTGTCGGGGCACTCCTTTGTCGTAATGATTTCGATGCTTGTCCCGTCCTGTCCCATAAAATGAAACATCATCAATGAAGAGAGTACGGAACATCGATACGATGATGAGAAAGGTTGGAGTAGTACGGAAAAGTGTACCGGATTTCCGAGTTCCATCAGTAAAGGCGGATGGAACGTGTTCTGAGACCCAATACCCGTACGGATTCCCATCGGTGGCCAAAATCATCAGGTGCGACGAACATTTTCTCGATGAAATGAAACCGAGTGCTGATAGATGCATCTTGTGCTCAATGATGCAGGCTCCGGCTTGTCGAAGACTCAATTCTGCAAGATACAGAGATTCAGCGAGGACCATTACACCTGGCCAGGCCTTTGAGTAAGATTTTGATGTGATGAGGAGGTTTTGGACTACCAAATCAGATGTTTTGAGCTCTGCTTCAGGAGGTTTGACCCGCTACCCTGTAAGTGTATATTGTGTAGAGGCCATTCCGCCTTTGTGGCCCTTGTAGTCTAGTGGTTTATGATTCGCGCTTTGGGTTCTTAACAATTTGCGCGAGGTCCCCGGTTCGACTCCGGGCAAGGGCCCACCTTTTTTTTTCGTCTCCGAGACCGAAGTCGCTGGCAGCAGAACATTTCTCAAGCAAACCCTCTTTTTTTGCGTCTCGTGGTGTACTTTTGATGCCCCTTCGTCCTTGCGGCCGATCGCACAAATACAACAATTATTCATGAGCTAGATACAACTGTCATTGGTTTTTCGCCTGCAGCTGTCCTCCTCAGCCGCCCCTCGGCGCTGTACAGAGTATCATCGGGAGGGTACTGCTCGAGGTGATCGTTCCTTCGAGGCAAATTGACCCAACCTACAAAGAGAGTCAGGACGAATTGGGTACTTTTGCTAGTGCGATTGAACTCACTGTCGTAAAGGAGTTTTGTCGATAGTGGCAAATAGAAGAATGTGTAGATCTAGTGGATCAGATGTCAGCAACCGGATTTCAAACTGAATACGCTTGTGCTCACCCAGACGATCAGAAAAGCCGAACACTCAACAGCTGCCCACCTCACGCGTCGGTCCAGCTCTATTGTGATGGTCGGAACAGATGTCGACCAGCCGTACAATACGGCAAAAGCCAAGCTGCCGAGGACCATTGTGATTGATGTTTGAAAGACGGTGACAGAGGCGTATTGCAAGGATTGGACACGCTTGGCACGCTCAACGCCATGCAATGCCAGTTCACGCACTTCAGCTGTTGACGGGCGCCGCTGCCGTTCCTCAGAGTGTGACGGCGTCTGCATGTCGTGTAAATCTGAAGACGTAATCTCAGCATCCGGACGAACCGCCTGCAGACGCACTGACTAAAGTTGATTTGATGCCGCAGCGTCATGTAGAGACTGAACGCAAACAGGTTCAGACATGCCGTCAGTCCAGAAACGACGGAGTAGAGTGCTTTTGTCGTAGTGCTGTACACGAGGTATTGTCGAATGGTCCGTCGAAAAGCTCGATACAGAGACGGTGGCTGCTGCTGCCCGTCTGCTGGCGTCCATTTAGTTTCGAGCATCTGAAGCATGTCTTGAAGTGCGTAGAACTGCCGCCAGACTTGTCTCCATCTGTCATTACCGTCGTCAACGCGCGCTTCTTCGGGAAGGGGTCCACAGTTAAGCTCACCGAGACGTTGTGTAACCCGCCATGGTCAGCAGCGGGACGAAGAAAGCAGCGGTAGCCGCCAGGAAGCTCCAATTGGCCAGCGGAGCAACCCAAGGAGCCCACGGCCTGCCTTTACTTTGTACGACGAGCAGATGCGATTGCAGCACGCTCCAGCCGCTGAGCCAACCGTGTAGGACAAGCGGCACAAATGCAAAATTCCGCCAGCCTGCTGCTTGCGAGAGATACTGCTTGTCACGATAGAATGAGTACACATTGAGTGAGTAGGCGAGCAAAATTGTCGTCGTCACAAATGCCGACACGATCCCCAGCGGTTTCTGGCTGCAATGCAGTGCATCAGCTCGCTGCTGATCGTCACATATTTGTCACTCGAAGCAGCATGTACTGTGTGACGAGCTAGAATGCGTCGTGTAAGTCAAGGCGGCCGCTGATGGACGTTGCAACTTACAAACTTTTGCCCTTGACCGCGCGTGACGAACCGAGCAAACCATAAACGTTCCCCTTTGCGGCGACACTCGACGTGTAGCATCCCGAATCGGAGGATCGTCAACAGTACGACCCTGCAGCTCATGTTTTGGTCAGAGGTCGAATCGGCCCCGACTCCACACAAGCGTACAATGCCAGCGCTGTTGTGAGGATGATGATGCGCAACCGAAAGTACCGGCCTGGACTGTCGAACACGGCATCCTCTATCTCCAAGCGGTCTGTTTGCGCGAAAGAGTGTGAGCGATCTGCGAGATTGAGGTCGCTGGGTCGCGCACGAGTCCAGTCAATCGCTAGTGCCATGCTCACAGAATGTGTATGGGTTGCCGTCCATTGCTATAGCATGCTTGCGCGTCGTTGCATCCACGCGGTTGCTCGCTTGCCTTCTTGCTCCTGTCACTGGCCTAAGCGTCAGACGAGCCCTTCGCAGAGGGAGCAGTATAATTTAAGACCGAAATGTCTCACCCGAGCCAGCAGGCACACGGGTGAAGCCAACCATGTACAGAGTGCTCACGAATGCTTAAGCGTGCTACATCAACGCCCTGCGTCAGGAAGTACTAGAAGTCGAATTTCAACGAGTCACGTGACGGCCGCACCTCCTCTCGAACCGGGTTTGCAGTACATGTAAGCGACGAGCAGCGATGGATCCGCTTATCGTACACACTTGGGGGCTCGCTGAGTACAGGGCGTTTAACTCACACTGCCATTCGTTCGGCGCACGTTCTTTCGCGCCGAGCGAAAATCATCGCCGAGCTTCCGAGAAGGGATAGATACCAACTCATTCGCGAGCTACCTACCGCGTGTCACCGCCTGTTGTGCTTGACGCTTGCTTGCGCTTGCCTGCTTGCCGCGCTCAACTGTACTGCAGCCCTCAGCGCGCCTCGGCCGCGACCGCGTCTCGGTGAGCACCGCGAGCCCCGCCGTTCACAATGATGGGCGTGTGCAGCCCATCGTCCACGTCGACATGCGATCCAGATTACTGACTTGAGACTGCTGGACTACTTTTGGCTGGTCAGACCGTGTCTCTCGCTCGTCTGACAGCGCGTGCCGCGCCTGTTGGCCTCGCCACCGCCGCCGCCCCGCCGAGGAGTCACGCCATGGTCACCGCCGCGTTGCACACCACCAGCTCTGTGCATGCACCGCCTTTGAAGCGCCCGACGACCCCACAGACCGACTTGCCCTCGTGCTGGGGCCATCGTGGCGTGAGTGCCCCCCCGACCGCACGACTGTCACGTGACTGACTTGGATCTCCCCCCCCCCCCCCCTTCTTGTTCTCAAACGACGGCAGGCGTCGGCAGACTATCCTGAAAATACACTGGCCTCCTTCGAGGCAGCCATCAGAGATGGCGCGGAAGGCATTGAATCGGGTCAGTTGCGACCACGCACCAGATTCGACTGTGGCTGACATCGCGGTCCGAGCAGATGTGCACATGACCGAGGATTCTGAAATCGTCATGTTTCACGATCCTCATCTCGATCGCACGACCAACGGTACTGGCCGGATCCAGACACAGGCGTACCATGGCGTGTTGGACAAGCTCGTGACCAATAAGAGTCCGCAGCAAAAGGTCCGTGCTGGTGCCGCGCATCTCGACAATCAATTCTTGAATCTAATCGCTGTCATTCTACAGATCCCTACATTTCGGGAAACAATCGCTCTGCTCATGCGCCCTGAGAACTTGAGCATTTTTCTCAATATTGACGTCAAGGTCGATAACGACCCAGAGCGCTTGTTCCCCCTCATGCATGAGATCATATCGGCATATCCTGACTACGAAACCAAGCTGGCTCCGCGATTAGGTCAGTCGGCGGCAGGTTGTTCACGGACTCGCGCTGATTGTGCCAACTGCACGGACTCGCGCTGATTGTGCCAACTGCAGTCCTTGGCTTGTGGCACCCCAAATACGTCGAACCTGCGACGCGTATTCTCCCATATATTCGCTTGACGCATATTGGCATGTCACCGGCACTGGCACGCAAATACTTCTGGAAGGCCTGCTCGGCATTTTCTATGAATTTCGCTTGCCTGGTGAGCCCGGACGGCGAGAAGTTCCGGCAAGAGTGCAAAGCCGCTGGGAAAGATCTCTGTGAGTTGCGATTGAGTCTAAACCACTGAGGAGGAAATTGCTCACCCGTCAATATTCTCAGACGTCTGGACCGTCAATAAGCGCGCCGAGATGATCGAGGCCACGAAATGGGGCGTCAAAGCTATTTTGACGGATCGCACAGCAGAGTATCTCAAGCTGCGCACTCAGATGGAGAGTAAGTTGCTCAGATTGTCGACCAGCAGAGCTTGGCTGACTCGGCCTCGCCCTGTTAGACGACTGGTTTTCTGTTGCCGCAGAGACGACCTGGAAATTCGCGTGGACTTCGATTTGGTACACGACCGTCGCAAATTACGTCTTGTCGTCGTGGGAGCGCTACGTCTTGACGCAGGCTGGCGGTACTTGGGATATTGCTCCTCGAAATTGATTTCGGGCTCTCGCTTCTTTGCTTTCTTGTTGTTGATTCATAGGGAGTTGGCCCCCGTTGTACGTAGATGGACATTCTTTTCAATTTGCCAATCGTTTTCTCAGGGCGCGGAGGATAACTTGCAGTGATTTGCGCGACACGGAGTTACCCCTCACTCCACGCGCCTCACAGTTTGAATGGCTCTTGCGTTCCGCCCAGATGTGGTTCTCCAAATGCTGCTCTCGACCCCATGGCGGCAGCAGTGCCTCCTCTCCTCCGGCCCGAGGTGCCGTCATCGATTTTTTGGGCTGCGTGGGGCGGACTTTTCGGAGAAAGCGGGAGACCGCGGTCCGCAAAATGCTGAAGGATGCAGGCGAGAAACAACAACACGTCAACCGGGTCTCGTCGCCGGTGACGGCCAGCTCAAAATGACGTCCACAAGCCAATATGACAGACAAAGCGACCTTGCGCAGTGAGCTTTTGTTGTTGCAGATCCGCATTGCAGCTTGAGCATTTCGTGGATGTGTTCGGCAAATTTTGAGTGCGAGCGGCTGCGGCGTCGGAACCTGGGGCAAGGGGGCTCGCAAAGCATGGGGGCAGCCACGCTAGCGTCAGGTGCCCCATTGTGTTTTTCTCTTCCTCTTCTTTCCCCGACTTTAACGCCTCTACAACGCCCGCTCGTTTTTCTCCTGTGCTGTCGTTGACGAGCATGGTCCGACTTCCGTTCGCCACTCGGCGATCCGCGTCATCACGCGCTGCCGACGACGTTTCCGTCTCCAAGCCTTCATCCTCAGAGAAGCGCGAGGACGCTGCAGACAGAATAGACAGCATTGACGGAGAAAATGGCGGCTTTGTTGACCGCGCCAAGTTAGAAAAGCGGCTCAAACTCAAGCTCGATTTGCGCTTTTCGATTCTTATCGTTCTTTACATTCTGAGTGAGGCAAAAATGCGGGCCGGGCAATCTTGTATTCCGAAGACTGACTGTGCACTATTG